CGTTTCCAACGGAGATATATCTTTGGACTTCTTTCGTTTGACACCGTAGCTTGGTTCGAGAAGTTTTAATGATTCCTACCAGACTGCTCGCCCTAATACGTCCGGGATGACGCTTCAGAGAATTGATGGACCTCCGCAAAACATACCTCTTCGATCCGGGGTACTTTCTCCCATTTCACGTAGCCGACAATCGTTTGCAGACGAACAGAAACACGCTTCCCGTCGAGTAAAAAGCCTCTGACGTGTATCAAAAATCGTCAAACAGCTGTGCCTGTTCGATTCGGGAGGGAGGGGGGGGGATTCTCTGGACTAAAAGTCGCGCGTAGTTATATCGGCGATATTGATTGAATAGCAACGGTGATCGCTAACGGCGGACGTTTGGTCGACAGAGTTCAAAGGGGATAGTACTAGAAGTCAATTATGGATGAAAAAAACCGGCACCGAGGCGGAACATTCGATAGAAAAAACGCATGATCGTGAAAACACGGACGATTCGTCGCGGGAGAGAAAAAGAGAAGGAAGAAGAGAGGAAGAGAGGGACGATGATGCTGCGACGATGGTGAACGATCGAAAAGCAATCAAAAACGCGAGAACGGCTAGGCCAGTTATCGAGGGCGTCGGCGTTGGAAATGCGCGCGGACGAACGTACGGTGCGGATAATCGAACTGGCCACCGGCGTCCGCGTCCCCCGGACCAGGTAAAAATGCGAACTTTATCCGCGACATGAATACTAATTGGCGACAGGAGCGTATTCCGCCGTGGCAATGGCTGTGGCCGGCGCACTTTTCCAAAGCTCCGCTTAATTCGGCCCGATGTCATTAACGTTTGTGATTCGCCGATAAATTATTCAGGATAATTGGATTCGACCCGAGGTATAAAATCCGCCGGTCAATACAGAATGACCTGCCTCGGGGGCCGGCCGATCGCGAAAACCAATACACTCGATCGACGCTCTCCGGGGGGACGTTTCACACCGCACATGGCAAACACGACAGAACAATCGGGATCCGATGTTTACTATTTACCGATAGAACGATAGCTTATCACCGAACCGTGAGCAAGGCGCCCTTGAATCCTTGGAAACGCTGCGGAGCACGTGCTCTCCGCTCCGTGATCATCCCGCTGCGTTGCATGCTGGTTTACCGCCCGAATGATGGAATACTGATTGAGAATCATACGAAAGAGCGATTCTTTTTCAGGAAATTTTACATTTATACTCAATGTTTCACGAACGTTTAATATGGTACAGATTTAATAGTGTTTATCGCGGATAACACAATGAACGATTGGAAACGTGCAAGTAATTAATATCATTCGATTTTTTTTATCATAATTATTAAATATAACGGCGACATTTTATTTATTATAAAATAAAAGATGACATATTTAAAATTAAACTAAATTGATACAGTTTATATACCTAGTAATGAGTAATTGAACCTCCATTCTTCTGTATAACTTCCACCATACGAATGATTTATAAAACTTTTTCTATTTTTACTTACCACTCTGAATGAGCGTGTTAACTCCTGGAATGTGTTAAATCGTCGATTACCAGCAGATTGTGACAATTCTCTCCAATTTTCTATATTTAAATCGGGGCATTATTTTCTCTTGCAGGCCAGAAGAGAACAGGTATATTTCGAGGTACAAAGAAATCTCTCACAATTGCTGCTTTATCGACGAATGCATCGCCCCCCTGTTGAAACATGAAATTCTGACCTCCAACACGAGTTGCGTGATTTCTAATTTCAACACTTCAATTAAATTTTTGTACATCACAGCATTCGTTCGGTAATCAATGAACTGTGCATCTGTTCGTTCATTATAACCAATTGCAGCTCATAACATTGCCATTTGTCGACGAATTTCTGACGATTGTTCTTCTCTGACGTCGCGGAAGTAGTAATTAAAGCCAGCAGGGTTCGTCCAAATTAAATCTTTTCTCATCGGAAAATACGTACTTTTCGTTTCTTTCATCAAACGTGCTCCTTCCTTAAAGTTCAAACGATCCATTTTGTGCTTCGCTGCAAGTTCTTCTGAATTTTCCTTTGTACAAGATGTTCACGTGTATGAATAACACGACGCACATTTCAGACGTTAGTTTCGACGCCTGTTTCTCGAGCAATTTGTCTTGCTGTTTGAGAGAAATACGAGAGGCGGCACGAAGGATTCCTCGTTTTTCATGCATAGTCAATGCAGATGGACGACCAGTGCTCCTCTTTTGTCCATAATTTCTCCACATTTTTCAATAAATTATAAACTTCCCTGCTCCATTTGATAGCCGAAGCAATTTTCGAAATAGAAAAGTTTCGATCCTTTTAAAGTAAGAAAGAAGAACTGTGCGAAAAGGATTTCTTCGTGGCACAACTTCCTTCCACGTCCCGTGGCTAGCAATACTTTGATAATATTCTGCGGCAGATTTGGACACGACTGAACACGTTATTGCGTAGAACTCTCCAACCTGACTAATAATTGTTACGGAAATATCAAGCATGTTGTCTATTTCTCAACATATTCCAAGAACTTGACTTCCAACTTCAATCCTGTTTACAATTCCTCTAAAACTGTTTATCATGTATGTAGAGCGTCGATATATTCTCGGAAACTACGAACGTGCCAATTTTTTTGTATTGTATGTAAATGTTTTTGGAAACTGTAAGAAATAGGGACAAGTTTCATCGAGAGAAAATACGTTTATCGATTGCACAATGAAATAACTGAAATAAATTACTGGAATAAGAGTGTCGCGTAATTACGATGGAAAAAGCGTCTAGTATGAAATCGTCACACACGCGTGTGTACACGCGTCAATTTTCCAAACTTTTTCCCGTCTATCACTGTATAATATAATAATATCACAAATATCTATAACGACCATTTAAACTGCACAGTTCGTGGATTTGTGGAAAAATTTGAAAATGTAAAGATACTTACATAGCATACTTGTTACAATAATTAGCATGTGAAACAACGTTTTTATTCCCCTAGATAGACGTTACATTTTAATATTTTAATATTTTTGGCCGTGTTATTTATTTGGATGTTTGATTCTCCGAGAAGCGAAGAATATTTTTAACTCTTATTGTTACGTACGCAGGTATACGTGGATTGTGTGGATCGGGCAACGAGGTTCGTTCAACCAGTCAAGGATAGTCAGCCCCGAATAGGATTCACGCGACAAGCGAGGGGTGAGTTTGACTATTTTTAGTGTGGCCGGTTACGTGCTTCGATTTTATGATAATGCAGCCTCTGCCGTGCTAACGAGGCGACCGCTCGTCGCCCGATAACCCGTAACCAAGTGTTACGGCATCGCCCTCGAAATTTAATTCTCTTTACTAACGGATTAATTAAGGAGCACACACTCTTGTGTGTTGTGAAACCTATGCAACCGCATAGTACTCTTCGCTCGCCGCGCAACCAGTTCTTCTCCTTTGAACGATGAAATTACCAGAA